TGCAAGACTTTGAGGTAGCCGGGACATCAATGGAGGTAGACGAAGAACCGAGAATGGAAATGCGAGAGCTAGAATTGTAAGTTTTGGTTCTCACTAAATGAGTGGTTTTTCGAGTGCACATGCATTCATGGTGTAATTTCATTTCAATTTGCAGGAGGAACCGAACAGTATATGTTCCATTCGTAGCCTCGCAAAGAGCAGCAACTAATGCAGTACCCGCTGCTTTTCGAGCTGCCGACATCGATGCACTGCCGAATCATTTCAAAAAAGAAGTGGTTCAATCTTCTCAGGACGCCTATAGAGTGGTGGCAGAGGATGGCTACTCCTATTTCGGTAATCATTTATTTTATCAAAGTGAAGAGTTGGAGAAATTGTCTGTAAAAAATGAGTTCGTCAAAATACTGAAGCCAGTTAAAATTTCAGCATGCTGCATGTGTGATAAGCGCTTCAGTTCGCTCAAAGGGTGGCGAATACACGCTTCAAAGATACACAGGAAAAATGGTATTTGTTGGCAATTGTGACTTTTTTTACATTGAGTATGCATTTTTTGTCCATATTTCTTTAAATAATGCTATAACTCCCTGAAACACATTTTTCAGGCTTCTGTTCAAGTTGTGGCCATTTTTTGGCCTTGCCATCAATATTCACCCCTTCTCAGATGGAAGCAGCGGTTGAGGTACACGTCCTCGATTGGTGCCCGCGGGCTCGAGCGCCTATCATGAACGAGAGAAAACATAAACGACGTCGATTGGAGATGATAGGGAAGAACGAATATGCTAGGCAATTATTCGTGCCAGGTTCATAATGATGTTATTAGGACCATGTTGTGAACTTCTTTCCTGTAAAAGCCATTCATGTCGTCTTATGTTATGTAGCAGTGAATTAAATTGTAAAATTAATTTAGATTTGGATATAGTTTCATTCTTTATTTTACTTCCAGTTGTTGAGTATTGTTCGATTGTTTTGCAAGTTGTATCACTGTCATTATTTAAGTGTATAATACTTCTCACTTTTTTTGTATTAGTCTTTCATCTTTTCTTCATTTCAATTTGTTAATGTTATTTAATCATCCTTTTTTCTAATTTCGTATGACAATATTTGTAAATGTATTTTCTTATTCTATTTTTTTCATTAATTGTTTTTCGAGAAAAGCTTTTTCTTCACTGAATTAGGTAACTAGAGAGAGTTTTTTGAGTTTTCAGATGACTCATTTTAGAACCAGGAAAAAGCAGGTAATTTTTTTCCTAGTAATAGTTACACTTTACCGTAAATGTTTTCCAGGAATTTTCCTTGAAAAATTTGATTTTTGTTGGAACATCGAAACTACATATAGATTAGATGTGACTCATTATAAATTTTGCAAGTAGATAAATATAATGGTAAGCGAATAAAAAAAATAAACTGAGCTAGCACCAAATTTCTAAAAATTTTCGGTCAATATTTTAGATTTTAGAACACAGTTTTTCTTTTATCATATCAATATTGCTGCCTTTCCTAACAGTGATAACAAAGCAGTATTAATACTGCTT